TGCCAAGAAAATTCCTCCATCCAAAGCAACTTGATTCATCTTTAACAAGCCTTTAACAAAAACACATGCTCATTTAGATGCCGCGAGCCTGTTGTCCCAGGGCTTTCCCAAATTAAGAAATAAAGAGATATATAATGTGGACATGAGTTGAGTGGTCACGAGGATTCTCAGCCTCAGTAAAGCAGTAAAGACTCGTTCACAACAAGATCAATCACTGTAACAATAACTAAATTAGCATCCACACCAACGCACAATAACAATCTGTCTATTATAAGAATACAGAAATTATGTCATTTGCCATTTTAAATGATCAAGCTCTTTAAATGGGGTGGATTCTGATTGGCAGTCAATGCTTTTGTCAGTCATTAGCTGGAAAAATCATCTTGAATGTGATTCCAACAATGTTGTTTCTCCATATTGTTACTGTTATAGTTGTGATGTGGATTGTGGACTTCCCTATTCTCAAAGAATTAGAACAATTATTAAAACTTTATAATTATAGTTATCGCTAGTGTATTTGGTGTGAATAAGCCATAGGACAGGACAAGAAAATGATTTTGGTTAACCTAAATTTGATAACCATTAAGCAACATTACAGCTGTTTCTTCGATTATGGTCACTTCCAGCTGTGTGGACACTTTCTAGTTTGTTATTTGTCCACTAATAATGTCCAACAGTAGACATACATGCATCCCAGGAGCACTGTTTCTTTTATTTTTGAAAGTAAATCATGAAAATTCACACTGCACTGCCATTTCTGCCACATCTCAAATGATATTGTTTTCTGTGGTAGAAACGACAGTGGTGGAAATTACATTTTAAACATTAACATTAAAATATCAGCTAATTTCCTAGCAAACATTTTATGCATCTTAAATACACACATTAATTTATATTTGTATTAAATTATATATTACACATTACACATTAATTTATATTTGTATTAAATTATATATACATAAAATTCTCACACTTTGCCTGTACTGACAGAATAATAGCTTGATTGGAAATAAGGCCCAACGTATGATCTGTATAACATTTACCTTTATATTTAGAACTTTATATTTTTAAGCACAGATCATATGTCATAATTCATTTTAAGTCTTTCTCTTGCTGACAATTAATACAAAATGATGATTCATATTTTTTATGAAGGATTTTCATATTTTAGATCAGTCAAGCCAGAGCCAATATTTTTTAATGTGATATTAATATAACTAAAAGACAAGGTTGAAATCAAATCTTTTTGTATTTACTTACTTACTTACTTACTTACTTACATTTAAATGTAATTTTAATAAAAATCAACCTTTGGAACACAAAAGCACTCAAAGCCAAAGAAACACCCTTATATACCATGATCCAGTGGGGAACCGTCAGGGCCCTCTAGGCCCTCAGAGAGGGCCTAAACTATTGTAAAAACAATATTTACAATTTTTAAATATTTTTTTAAATGACAAACTTTTAAATATTATTTTTAATAAAAAGTCATAATTTCCCAATCATCATCTAAATAAAATAAATACAATTTATGTGGAAATAAACTCTTCAAATCTGCCTATTCAGTGAATGCGCTAAATGAACTCCACCCATTTTCTCCATATTAGAATGTTTCTGCCTAGCGTTTGTGGCTCTGTGATTGGTGGTCCAGCTATGAAATTATAGAGGGCCAAGCAATAGTAAATCAATGGGAGCGTAATTTTAAATGACAGGAAAAACTGACCAATCATATCTTTCCTCTAAATGGGCGGGCCTTGTTATCACTCACTTTATGACCAGTTCCGCCCGCTGTGGGATCTCTATCGGAAAAATATATATATACGCTGATAAACTAACTAGCTATTATTCACGTCACGATGGAAGCTGCAAATAACGTAAATGAGGACATTTACTAGGCTGCTGTGCCAATAATAATATTATTTAATATAAACACTGCTTGTTTGTAATAAAGTGTCTGTTGCTAAGTTGTTTTGCTGTGAGCGCTGTCATGATGTGCTGGCTTACATTAAACATTACATTTGTTGGTTTTGTGCACAGACCGATTGTGTGATGATGCATTTGTAATGAGGATTTTCATTTAGTTGTTTTGCTGTGAGCGCTGTCATGATGTGTTGGCTTACATTAAACATTACATTTGTTGGTTGGTTTTGTGGACCGATTGTGTGATGATGCATTTGTAATGAGGATTTTCATTTGACTTAAATTTAGCTATGTTTTATTTTGGTGATATCAGTCACTCTTGCTGCGCTGTTTTCTTGTTGCATTTCTGAAAGGCGGTCGCACACCGGACGAGAAGCGCAGCGCCGCCACCGTGCGATGCGTGACTCTAGGGCAACTTATCGGACACCGGACGAGTCGCGTTCAGTTCGAGATGGCAGTCCAAAACCTTTAATCTACTCTCCAAACAGTCAAACATTCACTTCAAGAATGAGCAAGTAGTGTCAATGAGTTTGAAGTTCGGTGATTAAAAAAAGAACAGAGCAAACAGAATGAGAAAGTGCGGTCAAAGCACGGAGGCCGATGGTGTAGAAAACAATGTGTTCGAATATTAAAGACATGGTGTGGCGCAGCACTGCGGTTCTCGTCCGGTATGTGACCACATTAAGGCTGGAATAGCCTCTAGTTTCAAAGGTGGAATTGTCAAAGATGACTTTTAGAATTAGACTCTGTAAACTAGGCTGGTAGTCTGTTTTCCACCCCGACGAGGGTAGGGGGAGAGGGCCAAGGTTCAAAAATCACGTTTCGCTACTGCCATGATCCCAGTTTTATCTCCAGACAAACATTCAAAGGATTACTAAAGGCAGAGCTCAGATTCAGTAGCCAGGCAGAATGAGATCTAGACCGAGTGTGTGAGTCTATATGAGCGTCTCTGCTCTATACAGGCTGGTATGCACAACTCAGTGTGAGGCATGCGAATGTAAACAGCAGTGATATACAACAGGTCCAGCTGGCAAACAGACAACTGTGTGCTTGTGTCATCATCATGTCTAACGCTGGTGTCCCTTTCTCGCTAGCTTAGAGCCCTTTCACCTAAAGAATGAGGGTAAGAATGTGGGCCTAAATATGACAGCCCGCCCCACTCCTCAGTCATTTCCATCTCATTTCTCCTTCCCCCTCCCTTCAAATCCGAGCATCCTCCCCCCTCCATGATTCAGAGCCATACTCATAACAACCCTTTTACAACAATGCCCTCCTAAGACCCAGACACAAAAACACACATATAGCAAACATACGTTGATTTAAAAATCTAATTGATGTTCACATTCCCCTGTGGAGTTAAACAGAGTCATATATGGCATATTATTCCTTCCTGTTCCTATTTGGCAAGAAACAAGTAATCATTCACGTACAGTTCAATTTTTTTTCCAACAGGCTAGTTTCCAAACAGCATTCTTCAGATCTGCTGAGTGATGAAGAGCGCTAGAAGAACAGTAAGCTGAATCTATACTTTATTGATTCCGTTGGGGAATTTGGGCTCCTTGTTTATTCCAGTACTGTTGGGATCTCAGAGAAGGAACAAAGAAGATCCAACTGACATTCTGGTGATGAGACACATATGACAAGTGAGCTGGCAATACCCACAGGCTACCCACATCCCACAAACCAAGACATGCAAAGGCAGAAGCAGAGAGAATACAGTGGTAGCTTTTCAAATCTTGAACAGTAACTTCATTTTTAGATTCTTTACTGAATGAATTGCCAGCACTTTCTTTGAGCAATCATCATAAAATTGTTGAACTTAACTCTCTTTACAGTCCTCAGCTGTGTTCCTGCTTTTCCCATCTCAGTATAGCAACATCAGAGGATGGCGAGGGCAAACCGAATGTCTGCACAGAGTGAGCTTGAGCGAGACCAAGAACAGCGCAGCACCTGAATCAACCTACATCTTAAAGCTGAAGCCTGGATCTAGGTCTCTCAGACAGTGCTCATTCATGACTGAACTGTGCCAGACACCATGTGCCAATGCCACTGTCTGCTCAATATCATTCAACAGACATGCATGTCATGACCCATATTTCGCAATCCCCATTTACAGTAACAGCATGGAAGCAAATTGGACCACGAGTGTGCTGGAGAAGCAAGAGTTAAATATTGAATGAGAAGAGAATATCTTTGTAAGCAGAGCAGAGAGAACAGATGCAGATGCTGCTCAGAGCTGTTAGACCTTAAGAAAATCACGTCTTTTTGTCAATACAGTAAAAAGACCGTGATAGTAACAAACAGCTTCAGGGCTTCTCAAGAGAGACAAGATATCTGGTCGCTATTGGATTTCACTGGCTGAATGTTATTGCCAGAGCGTCAGTAATGCATGGAAACGAGTCCCGAAACCCGGTCAACATTCAAAACGAATGTGCGTCCCACTCACTATGTGGTTAAAATATTAAACCCGACAGAAGATCAATACGGTGTTTTCATGCGAGCGCGGCCGCTCTTTTACGCTCATAGACCCAATGATATGACGGAACGCTGCAATCCGTCAGACAGACGCAACAAATCTCACTGTGTGTGACACGGAATGGCGCGCGGCTGCATCTGCTTAATCAGCAGCAGCTCAGTCTGTTTCCCATTGTGTGTGTGAAACCCCCTCCATTTCCATGCACAACATTCTCATGTGGATACAGTGTATTCAGCCGCACCGGCATTAGGGCGAACCGTATCGAGTTGCCTTCATAATCTAATGTATAACCTAATAGGCCTCTATGTATGTATGTAGGTATGCATGTATGCATAGGCTATATCTATGCATGCATTTATCTATCAATCTATCAATCTATCTATCTATCTATCTATCATAATCAGGGAGGATAGTGGATGTCATATAGCGCTCCCCCTGTCATTTAGGTCAAACATGAATAGGCGATTGTATAGCTATTGCATTATGGTTATTTGCTCAAAGCCACTTTAGTGATAAGGGGTTTGAGAGCTTCACCATCTGCATGCTGGTCACGCTCGTGAAGAATATGCGGTTACATGTGTAGCGATCGTGTCAAACCTCTCACCTTCATATCATTGACAATCGCCTGGAATAATCCACCAAGCGCGCCGCACTCCTTCTCCACCGACTCCACGTTTATATTATCCATCCTCAGTGAATATCCTTCTGTGAAATTACTTCCACAATATCCCGACGAGACGTGTGTGAGAGTGTTTTTTGAGAGCTAGATTTCAGCAGAAATCGCTGCGTCTTCAGCTGTCGGTTTGCCCAGAGGATTGAGGCAGATGATGGGGAGAGACGAGAGAGAGGTGGGTTAATCTCTCTCTCTCTCTCACTCTCTCTCTCCTCGGCTCCGGTTCTACTCTCCGCGGTTGGTGGAGGTTAGGCTCGTGGATGGCCCCGCAATAGTCACGGTCATCTTCGGACAACGATGCGGAATCGAGCTGAATGGATGTGAGAAGCGGAGTGCGCCACCCGCCCGGCAGAGACAGCTGAGTGAGTGAACTGAGTAGCAGCCGCGCAATGCGAGAGAGCCAGTAACTCGATCCATGCGAATCGTATTGGGCAGAACCGTTTCTCTTGTCACATGGAGGTCAGAGGGAGGAGAGAGGGGACACAAACACACAGACCGACCGATGCGAGTTATTCTGTCTGAATCTGATTCTAAGTCTGAAACTAATTTATTGTGCATCTTTTTTTATATATATATATAAAACAGTATTAGTAGGCAACTTGTCATATTGCATATTGTTGTGTGTATCCAGTTGAGTATGATCAGTGCCTGAAACTATTAAAGGAGTAGTTTTATCCTATTGTAAAAGTCATAGAGGTTTGGAACGACACGAGTGTGAGTAAATGATAACAGAATTTTCATTATTGAGTGAACTGTCCCCTGAAAACCATATCAGTTTGGATATAAAGGGTGGGATTCAGTCTGCATATTCAGGGATTTCATTAATGCCAAAGTTGTTCTGTGATAAATGATAATGAAGCTGAAATGAGATTTCATGATTATGTCTTACTGCTGTGATAAAGACCCAATCATCTTGTTCTCTTGCCACAGTGGAAAGGGGGAGAATGACGCCCTCTCTTAAAGATTCAAAACCAAGGTCACGGAGCCTGAGTGGTCGTTGTCTACAAAACCGGGTGTCATATTTACAGAAATAGTTTTAAGGTCACTCCCTCTAAACTCTTTTGGGAATTCTCTTACATTACACCTCTGCTCTGCTTTTTGCAAGAATTAAGTCAAGACACTGTTCATGGCCTATACGCTGCTGCCAGTGGATACTGGCTACGGACAGAGAGATATAAACAGTTCTGTATTTACTGCCTGCCGACCTTGCATTGTTGTAAATCACTTTGGTGAGAAAAGATCTGCCTGGAAATGTCAGTCACTCTAAACCTTTTCTCTTTTGCCGTCTCTTGCTCCCTGTTTTTGGTGATCTTCACTGTCTGTGCCTAACAAGGTTCCCCTCCATTTCATACATTACTCAGCAAGACAGCTAGACTGCCTGCATCAGCATCAAATAGTCCTGCCAACCACCACTGAGCTGAGACACCTGCTTCACCCTTCATCCTTCATTTCCACTGTTATTACTGTAAAATACATGCTGTACATTATCATCTATCTTGCACATTTCTTGTTTTTTCAGAAATTTGAGAAGTGTTTAGAATTCAGATTCTCATATATCTGGCAGTGATCTAATGGCCATAAAAAACTTAAATATTCTTGGCACCAAATGAGCTCAGATTCTGATGTTCAGGGACTCAGCAGTGCTGCTGCGGTTGTTGGAACTTGTTTTACATGCGAGTTAGTGATGACGCAAATCTCCAGAGATCTACAGAGTGAGAATTAAAATTTTACCTAAGAGATGGAAAGTAATAAGTAGATACAGAAATGTAATCAAAAGTAAATTACAATTGGTGAAAATGATTTTTCCCCCCCCCTCTAGAGGAGATTCTTCTCAAAATTTGTTATGTAATTGTGTTATGTAGTCATGTATATATTTTGGAGATATCTGTCAATGTGTATTAGCAAAGTCTTCATTCCTAATTCATTAAAAATATGTCTTCTTTTGTGTTCCTCGGAAAAAAGAAAGTCATACTTATTTGGAACAACTATAATGGTTACATAATTTTCATTTCACTTCATTGTCTATTGAAATCTCTAAACTTTTTTATTAGATTATTATGGTTTCTTATTTGTATATTATTTTATATGGTTTGAGTTGTTCAGAAAAAAAAAAACAATCTTATTTTCCTCTTTTGTAAAATATAGATTATTGTCCAGAGCGCTACTGTAATGAATATTGTTCAAACTTCTGCTGCATGCAACACATACAGATATGCGTTCCAATTCCAACTGTTCTTTTTCTTCCACAGAGTAACACAAAGTTTTAATATAGCCTTAACCAAATTCCAAGCACATTACATCAGATTCATTTCAAGTGGAACATAAACCCTCCCCCAAACCTCCTTTCTTTGGGTCTTTATACTATTAATACTTAAAATGGAGAGAGAGAATAACAAGAAAATACTAATTCAATTCGTCAAACTATTTCTGGGAAGACTTTCAAATTTTCAAAGCCAAAGAAAACCACTGTCTCATTTTTGGGGTCTTTTATACAGTCTAGTCATCCAAATACAGGTCAATCACTTCTTCAGAGCTATGGAATACAATAATATGTGCAATATCCCATATTCTGTGATACGTCAACCACACGGCACCGTTGCTATTTTGTTAGCTAGTCAGGCATTACTACAAACAACTTGGGCATGACCACAGGGCATCGTGACAAAAAAAATGTTGCTCTCTTTTCCACTCACAATGAGCTGTGTTTACATTTGAATTCGTGCTTTATGACAATTCACAGAGGCTCTATTAAAGTTATCAAGTCTTAGGGCAAGAAGGAACTGGGCCAGAGATACTTATGTGCTGATAGAGTCACATATAAAGAAATCATCTAATGACAGACTGTGGGTGTGACATGGCCGAAGTGTGCAATGCCATTCCTGTGTGCCAGTGGCTTTTGTTGATCTCTTTTGTTGAGTCTGATCTTAGTTACACACTGACTTGACAAAAGGTAATTGAATGTTTGTAGAATACCCCTCGCTTGTTCATTAAGCAGTTTCAAACAAGAATGCTTTTATTCAGACAAACAGCAAGATTGTGATTGTGATCTTGCTTTTATACAAGAGTTCAATAAACAAGAAGTTAATACGGAGTGACTTATATTTAAGACACAATATTTCCAGCTTTTTGCATTGTAAGCAGAAACTATCTATCTATATATATATTCGAAAGACAGGGAATTGATGCAAATGATGCTGGTGGGTCACATGACAATGACAACAAGACAAATGTAGTGAGTCCAGATTCATTCATACTACACATATGCATACAATTTAGCCTAGAGCACAGTATATACAGTGGGTACGGAAAGTATTCAGACCCCCTTAAATTTTTCACTCTTTGTTATATTGCAGCCATTTGCTAAAATCATTTAAGTTAATTTTTTTTCCTCATTAATGTACACACAGCACCCCATATTGACAGAAAAACACAGAATTGTTGACATCTTTGCAGATTTATTAAAAAAGAAAAACTGAAAAATGCTCAGTATTTAGTAGAAGCACCCATTTGATCTAATACAGCCATGAGTCTTTTTGGGAAAGATGCAACAAGGTTTTCACACCTGGATTTGGGGATCCTCTCCTTAAAGTTATCAAGTCTTAGGGCAAGAAGGAACTGGGCCAGAGATACTTATGTGCTGATAGAGTCACATATAAAGAAATCATCTAATGACAGACTGTGGGTGTGACATGGCCGAAGTGTGCAATGCCATTCCTGTGTGCCAGTGGCTTTTGTTGATCTCTTTTGTTGAGTCTGATCTTAGTTACACACTGACTTGACAAAAGGTAATTGAATGTTTGTAGAATACCCCTCGCTTGTTCATTAAGCAGTTTCAAACAAGAATGCTTTTATTCAGACAAACAGCAAGATTGTGATTGTGATCTTGCTTTTATACAAGAGTTCAATAAACAAGAAGTTAATACGGAGTGACTTATATTTAAGACACAATATTTCCAGCTTTTTGCATTGTAAGCAGAAACTATCTATCTATATATATATTCGAAAGACAGGGAATTGATGCAAATGATGCTGGTGGGTCACATGACAATGACAACAAGACAAATGTAGTGAGTCCAGATTCATTCATACTACACATATGCATACAATTTAGCCTAGAGCACAGTATATATATATATATATATATAGTAGTGCTGTCAATCGATTAAAAAAATTAACCAATTACACATTTTTCTGAAATTAATCGCAATTAATCCCGCTTAACATTAAAGTTTTTTAATATACTTTTATATTGCAATAATTTCACATTCAATCTTTAAATTAATGTACAAACAACATAAAGACAGTATATTTTTAAATATTTGTTTAATGGCATCTTTTTTATTATCAATGATACCAATACTGATTTCTCTATAAAATTGCCCCCCCCCCCAATATTTAACCATTGACTATAGCCATTCAACGTTACAGTATAACTGAGAGCTATCAATTTTAACATTTATTAAACTTTAAAAAATAACTTCTAATTTAAGTGAACTTAAAACAATCTTCACATAAACCTATTATAATAAATGTAATATTTACCTGTGCTCTTCAGCAGAAATATACAGAAATTTAAATTTAAGTTATCAAACACTAAATTCTAAATTAAATATAGATGAATCCTTAAAGCTATAAAAGTTATTTTTTCCTCTTTTTTTTCGTTGTCCTTTGATTAATAGACATCACAGCAGCTGGTTATTAGGTTGTTTTGGCTGCTATTTCTTTGACCCACTTCAGGTCTTAAAGTCTCTATTAATGAGCTGACGAGTTAAATCGGAGTGAGACTGCTGGGCTGCTCCAGGACAGTTTTGAAAACCATTTCAGAGACATGTTCTTAAATGTGACTCATATAAAATTACATGCATGCACAGTTTAAGGCAGCTTTAATCGCCTTTTTGGTAACTTCATGTCTTAACCAGATGCGGACAGTAACTAAGTTCATTTACTTGCGTATTGTACTTAAGTACACTTTTTGAGTATCTGTACTTTACTTGAGTATTCTTTTTTCTGGGAACTTATAACTTTAACTTACAATTTGCGACTTCAGACACAGCTAGATTCTAGTAGTAGGCCTATTGTTCCTGGATTAATCAGTATTTTGAATGAAACAATTGACTGAAACATTTAAGGATTCACTCATAAAGCCAAGTAACAAACACAGTCCAGTGGAGTGATAAAAGCTCCAGTGCTGTTGACTGTATATCAGCACTCTTGTAATGGCACTTGTCTAATTAAATTCAAGGAATTAGCATCATATTTTATTTTCAAAAGTTCTTTGACTGAATATCTGAACGCCAACATGTAAACCAATTCTCCTCCAAAATTAATAGGTTTTGAGGTTCTGTTAAGAATATACTTTGATTTAAATGTTGGAGACCAAAAAAAAAATTTTATTAGCCTGTTTCTGCATTATCCCTACT